AGTGTGTGTGTGTGTGTGTGTGTGTGTGTGTGTGTGTGTGTGTGTGTGTGTGTGTGTATAGAAAAAACTCTAAATATTGCAATATTTACTATAGAATCATGAGAGTTGACAGCACTGGGACAGAAACATCTTGGTTCAGTGTCATCTTCTCTATCTACAAGTGACCTCTTATATTTACTGAAAACCATATTAGAGTCTGATCCTGCAAGCACTCCATGGAATAAACCTCCATTTAAATCAGGGCCTTTAATCTCAGCAGGACTAGCAATCTCTGTTGGATTAAGTGCTGCCAATCAAATTGTATGAGTTCCAAGACTTCCTGGGGAGTTCGGATCAATGTATTCTGAGGTTCTCTCACTGGGAGGAGCCCTGTTAACTATGAGATTTTATTAAAGCAGCCAGCCAAAGCCTAAAGAGTCACTTTCCCATACAATATCTCAAAAATTAAAAGTCCTGATGGAGGAAAGATATAAAAAGATCTGCCTGGGACAAAGGAGACAGAAGAAATTAAGGTACAGAAACAGGTTTAATAATAATGGGGCAGATTGGGTGCACAAAGCAGTGGGGGAAATGTTGCAAGGATTCTCCTCCTCTTCCTTCCATGTGGCAGCAGGCAACAATTTCAGTCCCTACATTTCTAACCAAGAGGGGAGAGGCAAAGAGGAATCTAATACCTTGCCCAAACCCCCTATATTCCAGCCAGCAGATCTGACTGGCCTTGCAGGGGAGAACATGCTGCATCCCCTGAAGGGTGCAGGGTGATGCCATAAAAGCATAATTAAGTCCAATAATGTAGCAGTAATAATGAAAAAGACACTTCATGGTTTGAGTGAACTACAATTTAAATATATTTCCAGGAAGATAATACCCTTGACCTACTAAAACTAGATCAAAATTGTCTCTTTGATGGAATAAATCCTTTCAGATACCCAGGATGATAGGCACCTTAGATATACACTGGAGTAGATAGAGATTTTATACTGTAATACAGTATCTTTCATTTTTATTTCATCTCATTTCCAATTTATTAAGGGCCTGTTTCAGTAGAAAATTTGTCTAGTTTCTGCCCTGCAAAATAAAGTGTAAGACAGCAGAAAACACAGAAAATCAATTTTCTGCCACAATGCCTAAACAGTTTATTAAAAAGGGATTTAAATGTTAGTTAAAAAGTTTAATTCATTTTAATCTCATCAAATACATTTAAATGGGCAAATCACATATAAATGTCATTTTCGCTTAGAATAAATGCAAAGATGCTGAGTCCTGAGCACATCAAAAAGAGAATGCAGGTACTCGGAGGGCAATTACTAGTGATCAGCAGTGACACTCCATGGTAGAGTACCTTCTGCTTTGATGAACTGCACATTCAACTAGACAACTTCAAGACAACTACACTATTGGGTTACAGATACAAACAGGATTATAGTTACTTTAGCATGGAGAATCAGATTTTCATTCTTCAAGAATGACTAAAATTCCCCAAACTTTTTCTATCCACAGATGGTACTAATTTGAACAAACCATTCCATGCCTCCTAGAGTAATCATACAGCTTGTTTAAATTTTCTAAACATGATTCAACTATGAAGTGATCAAAATGTTCACAGTAAAATTACTTCAGATAACAAATTGCATTATTCAGGAATGATCCTTTATGATCTGATGTTTTCATCGGATATGTAACAAAGGTCTGCATATATACTCCCATAGACATGTTTCTGTTTTAATACACATCTAAATGTAATTGTATAACCTTGACTGGCCTCCAGAAAGCCA